TACAGATATAGTAATAATAATCAGATATAGTATGTTTGCAGTCTATTTCAGTCATCCTAAAAGAGAGCACCTTCACACTCTGACAAGCTGTTTACATCAGCTGTGTGATGATGTGTTTACTGCAGGAATAGACTGAGGTAACTATCACTGAAACTCAGTACGTGTCCCTCTCTCATCCATCCATTCATTATCTCGCCGCTTATTCCATGACATTGGGCGAGACGTAGGGTACACCATGGACACGTCGCCAGTGTATCACAGGGCTGACACATAGAGACAGACAACTCCACACTCACTCATAAGGGCAATTCAGAGTCACTTATCAACCTAAGCTGCGTGTCTTTGGACTGTGGGAGGAAGCCGGAGGGAGTATGCCCTCTCTTTTTCAGCAAATGAAATAACATTTTTTTGTTTATCTTGAATTTATACCTTTGAGGCACTTTCTTTGACACAGATAATGAATTCTCTCCACCTTTTTCTGCCTGTTGCAGGTGGGGCTTTCCAGGTTTTAACACCTTGTTAGAAAATAAAAAAAGATTAGATCTTCTTTGGTCTATAGCTGTGTGACCACTGACCTACAGGGCATAGTCACAACCTCATAGAGATCAACTTTCACATTATCACTAATAATAACCCTGGAGGAGTTAATATAATTACCCATTGCCCTCCTTCTTAGAACTACTCACTGTAACATATATGGTATTTGATCGAGTGATACCTTGAAAATCACAGTGACACAGCATTCTGAGCTGCACACCATATATTTGCAATGAAACCAAATCTCATCCAGAAACCCTTTTATTTTAGGTTTCTTCCATTTCTGTTTTCACTTATCACACTGTGGAGTCAGCTAATAAAGCAGAAAAAGCTGAAAATGTATAAACCAGTACAACAGATTTATAATTTCATAGGTCACATTCTGCTAACATATAACACACTGATGTAAAATGTTGCCACATGATGACATATGGCCCTGGCTGAGCTCATCTCAGGCTCACCTGACCAACAAGGGGAGTGGCAACACAGAAGCTCTATAAATAAAAGCATGTCAAGAATGCCATTCATAACAGGGAAAAACCCCATCCACTGAGCAGGAGCGGTCTTGAACTGAACCTACGTAGCAGGCTCACCATGCTTAAATCAGTGTATCAACTCATCTGCTACACACTGCCGCTCCTTGTTTTCTTCTCCAGCTCAGGGGAGAGCCGGCCTCACGTGGCCCATCAAGGCACACCTGATGCAGCCAGGACAGCCAGCCAAAGGGTCCTGCTTTTGGAGGCGGTGAAGATAGGGATCCTCAGCTCTCTGGGTATGGACATGGAGCCCAGGCCAACCCAAAAGGCCTCAGAGCAAGAGCTCAGCAGGATGTATCAGCTCTACAGAGAAACACTGAGAGAGATGAGAGGAAACTCCAGCCACCTGTTAAAGGAAACCAGACAGTCTACCATGACTACTGTTCTCTTTCCAGCTACAGGTGAGATATTTGTCAGACAGGGAAGCACCATAAAGACACTTAGGCCTAATTGAGCCATTGGCACGCGTCAATGCCTGATGTGACAAGTTTGATTTACAGATACAAAAACTGTTGTATTTGTGTGGCATTAAGTATTATGAATAACTTCTTCTCCAGGTAAAGATCTCTACAAACTTTAAATTTAAATATGTGTGAATGCTTGAGAAAGGTTGTAGCCAGTAAACTGTCTTGTAATCAAAGCAAACACATTCCTACAAGCTTTTAGAAATCATAGCATGTCAGGCACACCTTGTATTCAATGTTACACATTGTTACAATAATAAGCCAAACACTAGAAAGCATTGTAATTTGAAATAAGAGTAAATGTAATGTTTCCTTTGTTTTTCCAGTTTCAGCTGTTTCGTGACATCATGACTTCTACATATACTTTGTCAAATTGCTGCAGGATGCTGCCAACTTTGGTTTTAAAGAGGCTTTGTTTTTGTTTGTGTGTTGCAGTGGAGCCAGTGAAAGTGCTTCAGCCAGGAGAACGCCCACAGGCACTTCAGCACATGCAGTGGTACAGAGCTGTTTTCAATAAAAACATAAATATCAAAATGGAACTGACACTAGCTCGGGCAGAACTGAAGATTTCCAGACACATCTTAAATAAACCCACGTCAGTTCAGTCTGAGGTAAATGTTAATGTCAACGGGGCGAAGCTGATGAACTCTGCTGCACGGACACACTTAGACTCTCTAGTTCATGGCAGCGTCTCAGGCACTCAAGATGTGATGCTGGACATCAGCCCTGAGGTGGAGAAATGGATGAGAACTGATGGTCAGTCACTGGTTGTGGATGTAGGACTGGCTATGGCTGACACAGACGCTATCAAGTCAAATCCAACAATTTCTCTGGAATTAGGCCTCACACAGCCAAAACCTGCTCAGAGAACACGTCGCTCTAACGCTGAAGGTGACTGCGAGGAGCGAGGGTGGTGCTGCCAGAAGTCCATCACTGTGTCCTTCAAAGACATCGGCTGGACGGACTGGGTGGTGGCTCCATCTGAATACACCATGCATTTCTGTGAGGGCACCTGCCCCCACAACTACAAGCCAGCCAGCATGCACACACAAGTGAAGTCCCGCATGCACCAGATTACCAAAGGAGGAACACCGCACCCCTGCTGTGTGCCGGCGGCCTACGAACCCATGGTCCTCATGCACTATGACAGCAGAGGAAAGCTGAAGCTGACACCTTTCAATGACTTGATTGTCAGTAAATGTCACTGTGCCTGAGGGAAAATATTTAAGTCACTTTTTTCTTTACATTAAACCTTAATCTTTGCATTTTTACTTGAAAAAAAAAAGCTACCTTTTAAAACAAATACTTGCTTGTGTTCTTACTGTAAATGAATATTTTATTCTGTGTTTTCATTGGTAAGCTAAAGGACAGTTGGAGTCATTAACCTTTATTATATTTGGTGATTTAAAAGTGATGTTACTGCTGCACAGAGCCACTGTTTTGTTTTTGAATTGTGGGTCACAATAGACTTGTTCATTCATGTCTTTGCCTTTAAACATTAAGCTATTTATTTTAAATTCTATTTATGCTCCTATATTTGCTATTGTGTTGTTGTGTTATGTTTTTGTATATGTTAATACTATGTACTATTTAATTGTACTGTTATTTAAAATATTGTGTTTTATAAAGTATTTAGTTTCTTGTCTTCTACATTTCAATAATTATATGAGCACCCCAATAACCGTTCTGATTTATTTATACCAAACTGTTATACTTGAATATAACCACATGTACATTGGATAATAAACATGTAATTCTTTCTCATATTTGCCACTTATTTACAGAAATACCTTCAACTACAGTATAGGTCAGAGTGTGTCAGAGAAATTAGCAGATAAAGATCTGATCACATCCATCTCCTCTTGATGTTGTGTTCATTGTGGGTTAACAAAATTGGCATTAAACGGATAAAGCTGCCTGCTGCATAAACTTCAGATTGTTCAGATTACATATCAGTGTGTTGGACGTAAATGGGCTTTCAATACAGATTATCAAAGCTTTAAGTGCCACTTAGATAAATTGTTAGAAAAAGAACTAATAAAAATGTGAGATCAAAATCAGCTTTATTGGTCAGGTGTGTTGGACACACGAGGCATTTGACTCTGGTACATTGGCTCTCATATCCCCATATAAGGGAAAAGTAAAACAGTAAACCAGCATAAGGCTGTGTAATATAACAAAATAATCAGTATTTACAAACAACAAACAGTGCAAACAATGCCAATAAGCAGTACGACCAGGCAATAAACAATGCAGACAAACAAAGGAATGCTCATTGTGAAATGAGATAGATAGGAATAAAACAGAGTACTTAAAAATAGAGACCTGTACGAGTCTGTATAATCTGTACAATGTATATATACACAGGTATTGCACTGAGGGTTATTGTCTAATCATACTGTCGATGGTCAAGTGTTTATCAGACTGACAGCCTGGGGAAAGAAACTGTCCCTGTGCCTGGTTGTCTTGGTGCACAGTGACCTGTAACGTCGTCCAGAGGGGAGGAGTTCGAACAGATTATGTCCAGGGTGTGAGGGGTCTGCAGTGATCCTCTCTGCCCTCCTTTTGACCTGTGTGGTGTTCAGGTCCTCCATGGAGGGCAGGCTCACACCAATGACCTTTTCTGCAGTCCTCACTGTCCACTGAAGTCTGTACTTGTCCTGTTTGGTTGCTGAGCCAAACCAGACGGTGATGGAGGTGCAGAGAACAGACTCGATGATTCCTCTGTAAAACTGTATCAGCAGCTCCTGGGGCAGGTCGAACTTCCTGAGCTGGTGCAGGAAGTACATCCTCTGCTGTGAGCGTGTTCAGCTCCAGGTTGCTGCGGCTACACCAACTGTTCTACCTCCCATCTATAGGCTGATTCGTCATCGTCTCGGATGAGACCAATGACCGTTGTATCATCAGCAAACTTTAGGAGCTTGACAGAGGGGTCCTTCGAGATGCAGTCGTTAGTGTAGAGTGAAAACAGCAGAGATATCCTACAATAAGTGTGATCGCCAGGACAAAAAAATAATAATTCCACTGACAAGCAGCTCAGAGAAGAGACTGAAAAGATTAATCTCACGCATCTGGAGTTTAAAAATAACAAAAAGAGCACCATGATGAGTGAGCAAACCTAAGTGAAGTGAAATGAGTAGCAAGTTCCCCTGAAACGTTTCTAGTTTAGTTATACCAGGAAGCAACACCGATACCCCTAAAGGCTACTTCATAGTTTTTATCTTTGAATGAGTAAAAGTCACTTAAATGTCAGCACATGTTGTTTTACAATTAATAAAGTCGATGTGTTACAGGGTGAGACATAGTGAGTGACCCTGGACGCTGAATAAATAGGCAGGTGAATAAAGAAGTGATTCATCCGAACTGTCAACTGGAATTACACTGTATTCTGTGGTAAAGTTCGACCTTGCTGCTCGTACATTTATTTGTTTTTGTTCTGTTACTGTTTCTTTCAAGGATGACATCCTCACTTGTTACACAATTGTGGGTGGATGGAAAGGCCTTCAATCTTCGATTCTGAAAGGTCCAGAGTTTCAGTACCACCCAAGGTATACAAGTATATAAGAATTAAGGACAGTATTTATCAAGCCCTTCTGTGTGTAATCTAGAGTAGACAGCTTGAATTCATTAACCTCCAGCATTTGGCTTTCTCCTGGTTTTAAATCACATGTATGTAGCTTACCTGAAAGATTTTCACTTAAGTTAATTTCAGAATAACAGGGGGAAAAAATAAAAGCAAAGAACACATCAGGGTCTGTAAAGGTTCCCGCACATATCTAGACATTAACAATCCAGACAAGCACAAGGCCCGACTTACCATTCTGCAGTTTTCACACAAAGCTTTAAGCATTTTTCTGTTCAGTTTCTGGATGCAATCTATCCAGCGCTGGTCAGAGAGATTTTCACATCCCCTCTGTAAGTCTCCTCCGAAACACTGACACCCCAAAACACATACAGCAGTGTGGTATCTTTGTAAAAGGTAATAAGACCTAGCTTACTGATAGCTACTGGTAAATTATTTTTATGGTATATGATCAAATGCAATTGCAATTGCAATATATCCTTGCAGACAATTAATAATATATAAAATTTTCTGCTGTCGTTTATGTTTTTATGTTGCTTACTATTGTGATTTTTGTCTCAACACCATAAACATATTTGAATCATAGTAAATAAAACCTTCCAAAATAAACCATTACATTTATTCATGATGTTTTTATTTTAACAATTGCAGCCTGCAATAATAACATAAAGGACATTTTGTGTGGTCACCACACAGAGCAAAATAAGTGTTCGTTCTAATCTCTATCAGCGCTGCAGCTGCTGTAAACTTCTGCTTCTTGTTGCTGAATATTCAAAATGTCTGAAAAAAGTATTGACCACGAATAAGATCTATAAATGTTAACTTTAGTATAATGAATACTATCCCCACCCATGCGTATAAGTGCCCACATCCAGATGCTTATCTGTGTAAATGTGCAGCTTATTTTCATATTCACATTCACCTGTTCCTGGTATTGTAATGTTTTTTTAAGTCATTTGTATTTGCAGATTTATTTTAGGATAGTTTGAAAATCTAAAAACATTAAGTACTATATTATATTAAGAATATAACAACATTCATTCAAATATTAATATTTCAAGCTGCTAAAATTGTTAATGGAGGACCAAAGGCAGGACAACTTTATTTATATAGCACATTTCATACACATGGGCAAATCAAAGTGCTTTACGGAGGCAAGGAAAAAGCAACAATAGCAATAAAAACAATAAGAATTATAACCAAAATAAAACATTGTTAAATGAGATCAAATACATAAAATGAAACCAACAAAAAGACAAAATAAAAGAAATATTAATCTAGCAGTTACAGTGCAGAAGTACGGCTTAGATAACAAAACAGCAGAGCTTTCAGTTTGAGCCCTGAAAGTGGTCATTGGGAAGTTAGTTCCATCTGTGTGTGGCACAGCAGCTAAAAGCAGCTTCACCCTGTTTGGTTCTGACCTGATGATCTACCAGCTGGCTGCTTCCTAAGGGTCTCAGTGCGCTGCTGGGGTTGCGTTTGTAAAGGTCACGATGGAAGTGATTCATCAGTAATTCCAGAGGTATGAAGAGAAATCTCGTCAGCTAATTCATCAACTTGGATTGAAATGTTTTAATTTGTCTAACACAGTCATTAACTTGAACTGTGCCAAATGGCAGTGCTTGTATTTTTCCCAAATAATCTAGCGGTACCTAATCATATACAACAACTCTATACATTATTTATTTGCAAATAATATGAAATATATACTGAATAACATTTACTGCATGCCAGTGTACACTGTACTGCAGGAGATTAAAAACCCCAGCAGCATATTTCTGCCTTGTAGCATTTACAGTATACCATGAGTCAATGACCACAGCTCATTATATATAGTAAATGGAGTAAAAATATTCTCACATGAGCACACACGCATTCAGGAATCTGGCATAATGTACACGTCCTCTTCCTGGGAGTGTGAGAGGGTGGCAAGGTGACACTTTGGGTCATTGCTGTATATTGCATCATCTGACACATCACACTGCAGATACAAATCCTCTTCAGGCTCAGAAGGCGAGCTGTGGTGAAACAGATGATGTTGATATCAGAAAGCTCTTTTCTGATGTAAAGCCATTGTAACACAAGGCAAATATTATGTAAACTGTGTGGTTCTCCTTTTTCTGAAACTCCAGCAATGAGTCATCAGCTAGCACGTTTGAACTGCAGAATCTAAATCATATGCAGCAATAGAAAAGATCATGTACAGATGCCAACCTAACTGTAGGAAATGAGTACAACATTACTGTGCAAAATGGCGAAATTAAAACCCTGTGTAAATTGAATGTTTCTTCATCTGTTTCCGGTCTGGCCTAACTCAGCATTTCCTCTAATTTAAGAAGTTCTCAGATTATCCTGAGAGCTACATATACAAACACTTAGCTTACCTGCTCTGATTTGCTGCAGTTCTGTTGTAGGTAGGAGCTTGTGTTGTCACATTTTCATAGATAGGGGTCTGTGCTATTGGCTGTTCTCGAATCATGTTAGTATACTGATGGGCACCAGTGTGTGTTGTGTCTGAATAGTCTTCCTTCTTCTGGCTTCTTGTTTGTTCAAACTGCACCATATTCCTGATTTTGCTGCGGTATTTGTACACAAGTACTCC